CGGATCTTTCACAACCATAGTCAAATGAGAATTAAGGTAAAGGAAGTGGAATAATAAAAATGCAGTCTATCTTAATTGCCCTAACACATTCAGTACGACAAGTTTTTTCAGGTATGTAGGATGGCGGAACCGGAGCATCTTTAGGTCATCGTCAAAAGACCTAAGAAGTTCGAGTGTCATCAGATTGCAATAATCTATTGGCGGTACTTTTTCCAAATCATTCTGGTCTTCTGTTGGTTTTATTTCCATTGGCTTCTGAAATTACAATTTTTTTTGTTGCGTACCGAAATGGAAGGAACAGATGGAAGAAAATGAAGAAGAAAACAAATACGTCCCTCACTGTCTATATTTTTAAAAAGCTTAAATATTTTCAAATTTTCAATGGTTATAGTGAAGGCCAAAAAGTCGATATAGATTTACTGAGTAGCTGTAGGAGTAAAAGCGCTAAATATTACAACAGTTCTGACAGTTCTAAAAGTTCCATTGGATGGTGGAATTTTCTCTCATACACTATTGCTGCATTATCCACAAAGGGTCGACCTACAAAATGTTGAAAAAGTTACAGGTTTGCGTTGGGCAATGAATCAAAAATAAAATTTGCAATAAGCAGTTTTCACAGATGAATAAAATTTAATTGATACGAAAATCTTAGGTCGTGAAAGACGCGCTTATGTACCAGTAAACTATTTGCTAGCTTTGGAAATTGTTCGATACAATGCCTAGTAGCGCCATTTCACAGTTCGATGTCATATTTTGTTGTCAAAAATCCGAACACTGTTTAAAATCTTATCGAACATTTCGGAACTTTACACAAGGCACTGTCTGGATGTGGTACCGGAACGCTGTGCTTGTTCGACTGCCGTTTTGGATATGCGCATGTTTGAGAAGTATGCTGTTTGATCAACTTCGTTTGCATTATTTCCATGCGCGTGTTCACAACAAATGTGATTCACACATTAAATTGTCTAATCAAGCTTGGCCAGCTTGTATTCGTACCGCTGTTCAGTGGTTTATAAATTCACCGGAATCGAAAAGGATGAATCAAAAAATTTGCTTTTTTTTTATCAATCTTCAGTTTGCTATAAAAACCAAGCTAAAAAAAAAGCTACTAAATCGGTTGGTGAAAAAAGCTAAATTTTTTTAACGGTGTTTCTTCTTTTGACATAACCTGTCGTTCAATTTGATTACTAAACAAACTGAAGAATTTAAGTTGTTTTAAAGCTGCTTTAAAGATGGAAAATTATTTTCATTTTTATATCAACTAGTTTATTTTTGCATTAGATCAGACATTTTACGTAAAAAATTAGCATTTTTTCTGTCGACCGTTGAAATATTGGAGCTAGTTTTTGTTTTTCAGCAGTGTCGCCGCTTCATTGATACGGTTTATATACCTCTTGTTTCAAAACATTTAGAAGGTTTGGGGAAAGCTGTCACAGAATCATATTTTTTTGAACAGGCTTTTGAAGAATGTTAAGATAGTGCAAAATTTTAAGTATCGCTTAATATTTCTTTCTTCTTGTTCATTTGCTGAGATGATAAATCATATTTTTCGGCTGTTAACGTTTTTTAGCCACATAGTTCTAATTTACTGAACCTTAATTTCATTGCTTCATGTACTGACAACTATTTAGCGATATATTGCTAGGTGTGTAAGCGGTTAACGTGTTGTCCTTCATTCACACTAGTCGGGAACTGTCACCTGCAGCAAGTAGTTTATAAATGAGAAACAAGTAAAATAGGTTCTTAAGATTTATTTTTGATAATCTGTATCTGCTTTGAAGAAAGTTTCAAATTTTTCATTTTAAATTTGTTGACAAATAATATTTTAAAAAGAATAATAAGTAATCAAATAACAAAGACTCCACAAAATGATTTCTAAATTGTAGGCACTTGAGAAGAGGAAATAGCTTTTAGTACTTGGCACAGTATTCTCAATTTTTACAACTGAAAGACTCGTTTATTAGATGAAAGAAAATGCTTGTGGAATATTCCGCTCTAAAACTTTTGTTAGGCACTTTATAGGCACAAATTTGTGGCATTCGGAAGAAAAATAAAGTCATTTAAAATTCTGAGATTTTTCAGCTAAGACTTTGATGTGAAACTTTTGCATTTTTAACGTTGATCTGCGGTCAACTGACTATTTCACGATGTCGATCAAACAAAGCGATTCTCAAATAACGTATAATAAAAGGTAACAATTTGTGGAATGTAAACTTGGACAATTATCGTACACACTGTAAAATTAACATTAACGTTAAAACAAAATCACTTTGGTCTCGCCATCCAAAGTTTGCTTAACTGTAATTTTGCTGCTTTAAACCCTATCGTTAGCCACCTTTAACAAAAAAAAAAAAAAAAATAAAATAAAATAAATAACAGCGTACATGGGAAACATTGCTTAAAACTGATCACGCTGCCTCTGTTTCCTCGACCTTTACACTCTCTGCAGCAGCTGATGCTGTATCTTCTTCAGCTTCTTTCTCTTGACTTTTTTCTTCTTCAGCTTCTTTCTCTCGACTTTTTCTGTGCGCCCAAATTTCAACGTAAAAGAACGCGGAAACTCCGATTGTACTTGTTATTAAGAGAATCAACAATATCCATCGAAGTTCGATGGCAGAGGTATAAAAGAATGCACCGCAAGCTGCTGCAGCCTAAAAATTAAAGAGATTTAATTTAAACATTCATCAAAAACCATTATCAAGATTTTGAGAAAAACACTTTTTTGTTTCTCTCATTTTTATACTACTTTCAGCTTTTGTACTCAATAAATTTGCAGCATTCGTTATCCGAGATGTACTTTTCTGTTAAACAGAAGTTGATAGTTTACAGATTTTCATTGTTTTATATTAGCGTTATACTTGGTAATTTCTCAATTTTTACTGCCGTTCTGTTTCATTCAACCAAGTACAGTTTCTGTTAGAGTTACTTTTATACATTGCTTTGGATAAGTGTTGGGCACAGTGTCATCTTACTAAAATTTCCATGCTTCTTAAATCAGCGCTTAAAGTGCAATTACTTTTCAACTTTTGTCACGTCTTTGCCAAGCAGATAAGCCTATACAACCCGCCATGAGCTCCCTAATTGCGCGCGATTGCAAGAGCAACTGTTTGAATCAAGTTCCTAATCTGCTGCAAATATTTCTTCTCCAAAACTTGCATCTGTCAAGCGCCTCTGAACAAAGTGGCTAACCCTTTTCCATTTTATTTCTGTAAAAAAGCTGCAAAGAATTTTGTATTTTCAAATGATAACAGATCTGATTAGTTCTTTTGAAAGCCTCATTAAAGAAGAAGACAGATTCCAACATCAGAAAATTCATTAACATTTATTAACGCGGTATGCAATCATTTTCCAAGGAACAGTCAGTTTGCCAATACCTTCTTCCATCTTCAAGACCATTGTAACTCAGGCTATCACTATTACATGCCAAGAATTTAATAAGATTCCAATGACATAAACCATTCTCCCAAGCCAAACTTTTCTTTTGTGAAATCCTCTAGCAGCATCGCAAAAAAGGACCGTCGTTCTAAGATTGGCTTCAAGATGTTGTTAATGCTTAAGAAAGACCTAACTGGAAAAACCTGAATATTTTAAGGATAAACGCTCGTTCACGTTCCCTTCAACTGTTATTTGAAAAATACTCAAGCTACAGGAGCGCACTACTTGGTTGCACTTTAAAAGTTTGCAGGTGATATTACTACAATAAACATTATTTCCGCCTAAAACTTTAAACAACTGGAAACATCAAAATCAATCCAGAGAATAATTCTTCAACCACGAAGAGGCGGTTAGAAATGACAGACTAGAATTTTATTTCCTAATCTTACCATGTTATTGAAAACACTGCTCGTAGGTCATTAAGTATTTGATTAATAGCACACAGCAATAGGGGCTCTCTCGACGTTAAACTACAGAAAAGAAATTCAAATAGTTTGACCGGTGCGTGAACGAATGTTTTGTAGTATTTAGATTAAACGGAAGTAATGTGAGGAAATTACCTACAATCTATTAAAAGCTTCTTTTGCGGACCAGCTAATGATGCTGCTAAAATCACTTGTGGGCACTGATAAAGGGAATGGCATGGTATATAGGAGGTCACCTGCACAACAGGAAACAACATCTTCTGCGACATATTTGCGTTCAAGCAGCCTCTCAAGCAAATCGTTTTTCCGTCAGCGTCGATAATCCTCGCTATTACCAACGCTTCAATATCGCTTTTTTCTGCCCTAGTTGCTCCGCATAGTGTCTTATACGCAACTTTTATCATCTGGTTGTTCCTTTTTTACTGCAATCTGCTAACTGTCAAAACGAAGATTCCCGAACGTCCAGTAAAGTTTTTGCTTGTATTCTATCATGGATTTGTGGGGATTGCTAAATATTAATCTCGGTTTTAAAGACGTTTAAATCTTTAGGTAGCCATACTGCAGAATTGGATTACTCAAGCAAAACACTGCAAGGAAGTACCAATAAGGATGCGTAAGCCCACTTCATTGAAGAAGACACTGTGATAGATACACCTACGAACAGACTAGACTGTTTCATGCGGTTTACTTCACAAAAAGGAACATTTGAAGATTGATCAACGACGGTTCTTGCTGAAGGAATGAATGCGAGGCAATGAGTCGAAAAACGCAGAGCAAAGGTTTTGTTGGTTATCCTCCGAAAACGAGGTAAGGAGAAAATGCGGAACGCTGAATAAGCCGAAACACGTTCTTCGTTGAATCAGTCTTAAAGACGCTACTGATGATGGGAGTACTGGTAAAGTAGGCGACGTTGCAGCGCGTTACATTGATGACGAAATTCTGGTAACAGTTCTTTATTTTGTTCAGTTATTGTCGGCAACAGATGGGTAGAATCGGAGTTCAGTTTCGTTCACTTTAATCACGGTTGTAACTCTGCTGACTATCGCGCTAGCAGTTACGACGCCAAGGTGACGGTGCAACTGTGTTGTCCGCGATGCGACATTTTTAGACAAATTTTACAGCAAGGCCGGCATGCGTGAAGTCTGACTGTTTTCGTAGGCAGTAACTTGTAAATAACCGTAGAAAGGTTTTAAATAACTCATGTTATATTTATGCTAGCGATGTAAATACTGTCCATCTCATTTTGTATAGAAAATGTTCTTTCTTTTGTTTTATTTACTCATGACTTTTTGGTAATCTCGTGGTCTCATATTTCCTGTGTGAGGCATTATTTTTTTGCTCTGCTTTGAGATGTTCCAAAATACAGTAAAAAGGCATGCTTTAAGACTTGCATGAGATCCACTATTAACAGCTTATTTGTAAGTGAGAAGTTCATTGCCGCGAAGTAACAGATACTATTACGGAAGCAGGCGAAGACAGTTAAATCTGGTATTTAGATTTGGAGGAGATCAGATCAGTTCTAGTTATGTACGATAAAACAACCAGGTGTTTGAGAATTAAATTTAAGGATGTTTAGGCTTTGGTGGTCTAAAATTGTTAGAATGGCAGGTTCAAAACATAAAAAGGATAAGAAGCACGCTGCTTTCCCTCCTTCTGTAAACTAACCTTGGTTTGGTGAGTTTACCAAGTGCTGCATGGCTTCTCTATTTTTCTCAAATTATCTAATAATCTACTTTTAATCAATCTTTCTAAGAGCTTGGCCTTATCGTAAGTAGTCTACAGTCAATTGTAACTGTTGCTGTAAGTTTTAGTTTTTTTGTTTTTCTTCCTTCTAGTCTCCTTGTCTATCTTTTCTACTTCTTTTAGTCTCTCAGAGTAAAGGTTAAGTCAGTTGCGTAGTTTTCGCACACTTGTTCGAGTATTGTGGTAAAAAAGCTTTCAAAGTTTTCATTAACTTCTAAAAACTACACTAGCTTTGCGATGACGTTAATTCAATGGCAAAAGGAATTCGCTGTCGTACAGACATGAAAGGAAAGACAAGATCTAGGTAACATTTGCAGAGCTTAGCCATATGCAAATAATAAAGTTTAATTTCAGACGCACGGCATCTTAGCTCAAATCGCTTCAGTTGAAACTTGCTCCTACTCCTGATCAGAGTGCCTCGCACCTCGGCTCTGAGGAGGGGCATTTTGTTCTTCAAATATTTCAAAATTTCTTGTTTGATCTATTTGTAGCACTTAATTTAGCTTTTCAGTTGTCTTTTATAAAGTATTGGTGCTAATGTAACACTCATTTTTGCATAAAATTAAAGGTAATGGCTTTTTAATTAAAGCGACTTTGAATTATTGTTGTTGCTTAATATCTTTTGAGCTTTTGGTGTATCACTGTTATTTTGCCCTATTCAGTTGAATAAGCCTTGCTAGAGTCTAATTTCATGGTCTTCTAACGTAGTATAGGGACTATAAAGTGTATTACCAGAAAACTTTATTTAGTATATAAAAGAAAACTAATGAAAAGTTCAACAGCGGCAAGTCATAAATAGCAAAACTGACTTTTCAGTTTGTTGTCAAATTAAAATGACAGCAGTCTGTTAAGTGACTTACCTGGAAAAATTTCATAATTGAAAATGCTTGGGCAATTTTTTCACTGTAAACTCCGATTAAAATTGAGTACATTTGCGTATTCCATGCAGCATCACCGAATCCGAGGAGAACGCTAACAATCAACGCTAGAGCAATGCTGAAATTAGTTAGCGGTTTTAAGCAGTTGCTAAAATACGCTAGATTAATCTAAGTAAAGTTTGTTTTTTTAGTCGTAGCATATTGAACACAGATGAAAATGCCGTGGAATATAAATTCACTCATCAAACAGTGCTTACAATGCTGAATTAGAACTCAGCTATCATTTCTGCTTTTTGCCTAAATTATCGTTCATTTACCGTTGAAGCAATTAGCGTCTGGGTGTTTTTTGCAGTTTTGGTTAAACATCTTCAAAAAATATATTTTAATATATAAAAGTTTTTACTTTGGTGTGATATAAGCATCCTTCCAGGTGTTACGCAAATTAGCATCGGGTGGAAGATTTATAAATGATAATACAAAGCACACCAAGTGTGCGACATAACCGGTGATGACAATCGGATTCCTGCCGTATCGACGAAACTTGTCGCCAAATATACCAAAACATAGGCCACCTAAAAATATTACGCTGTAGCAGTTAGCAGTTACTGAAAAACTTTTTACTTTATTGCGGAACCAGAGTTTTACAAAAACTAACCAATAATCTGGCCTATTCCTTGGCAGATAGCATTCAAGCCCACAATTTTGTGTCTGTTAAACTTAAAAGTTCGAGTTCTAGAAATTGCTGTCGAATAAACACCAGACCAGTAGCTTAATTCCAAACCCGTGTAGATAAACGATATTACCAGTAACAACATATGTGGTGTTATTAAAAGTCGAAAAGCTCCGGCTAAAATTGTACGATTTAGTAGTTTTGACCAAAATAGCTAACTTAATAAACGAAAGTAAGTTGAAATTTCTTCTGTGTTGTCCTAAATAATGATATGCTGGTTTTAACTTGCGTATATTGTATTGCAAACAGTCATCAAAAACATGAAAGTAAAGCTTAGAACCAACCAAAATCTTTGCGTTTTGACTAGCAAAGTAAGTAAACGAAAAAAGTGAAAGTCTAAACTGCTTACTTAGAACTTGCAGCTGCGACATTTCTTTCTTTGGATTTTTTTCTTCATCAGTATCCTCGTTCTGATCTGTCAAATCATGCATTGGTATGAAAGCGAGGAGAACGTTACCAATAAGACTTACTGCAGAAAATACTCCATAAATTATCTGTCGCGTTCGTTTGTCGATGGTGTCTGTTTCTAAACCGCTAAAGATGCCGAACAGAAATAAACCGCCACCAACAAGCCTATAACCTATCAGTTTTGGCGCATGTGAATTTTCGGGGAAGTGATGAATACCACACTCATTTGTTAAATCGCTTTTTTTCACTGCATTAAACTGTAAGTAACATTTATTTGATAGCCAAATGTCTTTTTTATAGTCTTAAATTAGTCGCTGCAATCAAGGATAATATGAGTTCATCTGTTCCAAAATACCAAATCATATCAAGCAAGTTTACGATGTTTGAAGCATGCCCCATAGTAAACCGCTGTTACGACCAGCTGTTTTCTTCGTTGAATTCATCGACAAATATTTTCCTTGACCAGTCCATACGACTGCAAAATAGAGCAAAATCAAAGTTTTGTCAAACACCCAATATGAAAGCTTTTGCAATTGATACTTTTTTTATTTTTGGGAGAGAACTTATTTTCTGATTTCAAGCAATCTTATCTTTTTTATGAAGTTATAACTTATTGCCGTTAACAGTACTTTACAAAATGGACTAAATTGGAGAACCGCTACTGTTGGAAAGTTTGCGCTTACAGCCGGATCCAATGCCAAGAAGTGCTGACGAGATGTACAAATAGGGTTCGTTTAGGAATAGCATCCCAATTTGAAACAAAGTATACATAAAGCTTCCACCAGCCATTGATAGTCGTGGACCTAGGAAATCCACTAACGGAGCAACAATCATGTTTGTTCCCATTGAAAAAGCATATATAATTGCTAAGCTACAATAATAATAATGATAACTAATAATCAAAAAAAGTTTTTTCTATATTATAGTTTATATAAAACATGTTTAGCCTTTCCAGACAATTATTCTTTACGTGTCCAGACGGTTTTAAAAAGAATAGAAGAAGGAAAAAGTGACAACTGAGTAATGCAATTGTTTAAAATACCATAAGTAACCTGTAGTATCCAGCATGTTTATTCATATTTTCTGCATTGTCTATAGCGGTTTCTTCAATAAAGCCCTGCGAATTAAAAGCGAGAAAAACGCAGATGAAACCGAGTCCCAAGTGCACAACATTACGAGTTTTGTAACTCAAGCCGCACATAGCATCAAAAAGTAACGTTGATTCCTGAAATTATTGCAGTTTTTATTATAAGTCACTTAATCGTTGTCAGAAGAAAGTCATCCAGTTGCACTTTGATACATTATTTACTGAAGAACTGGTTTTATAAAGGGATAATATCAGTATAATTGTTTATCTTTCAAAAAAAAAACAAAAACAAAGCAATTGAATCAATAAACTGAACCAATGCAAATCATCGAACATCGTAACGAATGGTTTTTTTTTCAAAACACCCTCGTAGTAGTAAAAATTTTTTTCTTTTTTTGATTTAACTTTAAAAGCAGAGCAAACTGTGGCACTGAAAGAGAAATTTATGAACAATAGCGAGTATGCTGTCAAAGGTTCCGTAGAACACATGTGGTCGTCAAGCATACGCCAAACATGCTCAACTTGTCCAGTAATTTTTTGTTGATATGTCTTAATAAATTGGCGTTAGATAAACTGACACCTTAGAACACGCGAACAATTCATTCATAAACCACTTTTGATAAAGAACATGTTTGAGATACCGTCCAAAAAAGTTGTCAAAATTTTTTGAAAGAAAGAAAAACTGGTCAACTTGTGGTGGAAAAAAAAAAGAGAAGGAAAAAATTTAGAGAAGAATTCGTAAAGATGCAAACGAAGTGAACCCACAGGGAACTGACGAACTAAAAAATTGGTAATGACAAACCTTGATGAAAACTTTTTTAAGAATATTGTAAAGCATTACATCAGACGCTTGCTTAATTCTATGTCTGTCAAAAAAAAAAAAAAAA